AAAATTGTGAAGCAGAATGTGACAGTAGCAGCACTATTGTTTTTATATAAGCATTGTCAAACAAAAAATTGTACCTTTATAAAAATTTAAAATAAAAGTGTAAGTTGTATTGAAGTTTTTAGTATGCATACTCAAAGAGTATCTGAAATAATACTAAGCCGGCCATGTTTGTTGTAGCTAAAAATCAAGTTTTTTTTATCAGATTTTCATAAAATTGACGATATATGTGGTTGAAAAATTGATAAAATTCGTGAATTCCATGAAATGTGTGATTAAAATTAATTTAAATTTTTATTAAAACTACATCAAATAAGGAGTAAAATATATTCGGAAACGATAAATATTAACTTGTTGATATTATGAACCACAAGCATGTATGCCATAGCAGATTGTTTTTGTACAATATTGTATATGTTCTCTTTTTTCTTTCGATTTTCTGGCTGTAGCTTTAATTTATGCTCAATTTTTGATGCATTTCTTTGTTGTTTTTTTTAAATCTTTCTTCAGGCTGATGAAAAGGAGAAAGATATTTTGAAGATTAAAATAGAAACAGCCATAGCAGCTCTAAATGCTCCACACAACGCTAATAGTTAAAGTATGTTAATATAATGTATTAACATATTGGTCGCCATAAGTACTTTTTTTTTCTTATAAGTCTAAATTTACTTATAAGTAAATTAGTATAAGTTCTTAAAATAAATAAGGACTTTGTCTCCATCCTACAAACTAGGTGGTAATTCTTGGGAGTTTCTTTTCCTTTTTTTTTTTTAAAGGATTTCCATTTTCCCTTCACTGTCGGTATCCTATGAAATGTAATTTAAAATTTTAAAATATGTTTGATTTCCTCTTAACGTTAACTATATGTTTATAATTCGGAAGTTAAAGATGATAGTTCGACTATGCAATATGTTCTTCGAAAAGAAACTTTCGAAGAGATGATGGTATTAAATAATATAGATTATGAGGGTTCTATATGAATTTTTTATAATATATCATCTCATAAATTTAGCGAATTATTAATTTAGCACGTCATCCTCAAGTTGAATCGACCAAAAATATTATGTATCAAAATGAATCTTCGTAAATTGGGCTAAATTTATTGGATATTAATTTATCGAGGTTTCACTGTATATATATATTCAATTTTAGAAAATTGTGCATCACAAATAGGAATGAATAAAGAGACCAACGATCCCGTAAGAGTTTGCTCAGAGTTAACGGCTATGACCCTAAATTTTATAAATTCATAATGTGCACCTATCAAATCAAAGCTAATTCAGAAAGTATCTTAGCCCCTGTTTGTCATCCATTATTTCAAAACATTGTTTGCTACAGTAAAATCCTCCACCACATATTTACCCAATAAAATATTCTACACATAAACCAATAAAGTAACTTTAAATTTCAA